CCGACCTCTGCAGCTCACCCAGAATGCAGCGGCTCGTCTGGTCTTCAACCTTCCTAAATTCTCCCACACCACGCCGCTCCTCCGCTGCCTCCACTGGCTTCCGGTAACTGCTAGAATCCACTTCAAGACAATGGTACTTGCGTACCATGCTGCGAATGGATCTGGCCCTTCCTACATCCAGGACATGGTTAAACCGTACACCCCGGCACGTGCACTCCGCTCTGCATCAACCAAACGGCTCGCTGCACCCTCGCTGCGAAGGGGACCCAAGTTCCCATCAGCAAAAACACGTGGGTTTGCTATCCTGGCTCCAAAATGGTGGAATGAGCTCCCCATTGACATCAGGACAGCAGATAGCTTACACACCTTCCGGCGCAGACTGAAAACTCATCTCTTTCGACTCCACTTCGAGCAATAGAACTATTAACAAAGCACTTATATACTAATAAAGGACTGGCTTATCTAAAGCCAGTTGAGTAGCACTTGAAATGTTTTTGCTCTATGAAACCTGATGTACTTATATGATTCTGTTTTCTTCAAGTTTGTATTTTGTTGGTCGAACGCACTTATTGTACGTCGCTTTGGATAAAAGCGTCAGCTAAATGCAATGTAATGTAATGTAATACTCAAGTAGGATCTGATATTGGTAAGTCACGTTTTGCAGATGATGGAGCTATTTGGAAAAGGGGCAGAAATGTAAATTATATTGTAGGTAAGATTCAGGAAGCCATTACGGAAATTGAAGGCAGGGTTGCGTTCCGATAATCCAAAAATCAGCTCCAAAATTCTAACCCTATCTCCTATTCCTTGACCTCTGAGTGAAACGTTAAGGGATAGTGGATAGGATAATTCAAAAGGACTTAGGAGAAGAGACTGCGGTACTTTAGAGCAGTGGTTCCCAAACTTGTTGTGCCCAAGGCACACCAAAGGACAAGTAAAAATCTCAAGGCACACCTATTGTGTAAAATAGCCCTTATAACACGTGTTATCACTCATATCATGTAAAATATCTGTAAATGTGCATAATTATTTACTAATGCCAAATAAAATGTGACAAAGACAACTATATTACTCATGAAAGATTACGTACATATAAGCCTACAAAGTACTGATATAGTAAATTAAAAATAATTATTTTTGTGTAGTTGTATATTGCAATAATAACGTATGGTTGTCACAAAATCCCACGGCACACCCGGACTTGCCTCACGGCACACCGTTTGGGAACCACTGCTTTAGAGAATCCGACTGCACTTTCACTATCCGACGTGTTTATGATGCGCCAGCGGACGTCATGAATGTGCGTCTGCTGCTGTGGGGAAACCATGGAAACTACAGTTTTCTATACAGCGGACTACAACATGGATGTTTAATAAGAACGAGGGACTACTGTAAACTCATCTAGAGACTCTGCACCGTGCTCTGACGCTGTTGCTTTATGCTTTATGAACGTGGACAACAGAGAAACATATTCTTCATGACCAAAGTTGGAATTGAAATAAAAAAGGAAAGTGAAACTTATGCTCGTCACCCTCTCCCTCCGGTCCACATTAATACAAACGATCCCAATACGTATGATTGTATGAAAAGATCTTAAAATCAATACAAATGTATTTATTATAAACGTTAGTCCTTAACATCTATCACTGTGTATATCACCATTCAAACATCTTTTAAAAGTTGAACAAACCCCACACAGCTCAGTGAAGACTGTGAGATGTTGACTTTATTTGATCATTTCAGTAAAAACTAACGTTCATATTTCTCTTTTTGATTATAATACTGATGAACGTTCAAAACAAAGCACTTTGGCAACTTACCACATACGTTTTAAAATGCTTAATAAGCACCGTAACTTTCATGATATCATTTATCGGTCATAATCGGTTGTTTTCGTGAACGGCCGACTGTTGACGGCAAATGCTGCGGCTGCAATGCATTGTGGGGCAGCATTTTCTCCTCTCCTTTCGGTAAGGGAGGTCCAGTGGTTCCTAAGCTAAAGGAGGTTATAAAGGAAGTTTGAAACCTCCTTTCCTTTCATTTAGAGAATTGGAACGGCACTTATCATGGCTGCCACTGAGGGACTTCCGGGTCATTTCACTTGGTTAGGAAGGTTCCTAAGCTAAATGGACTATTGGAACGCAACCAGGGGTTGCGTTCCGATAATCCAAAAATCAGCTCCTAAATTCTAACCCTATCTCCTATTCCTTGACCTCTGAGGGAAACGTCACGAAGTTAAGGGATAGTGGATAGGAGAATTCAAAAGGACTTAGGAGAAGAGACTGTGGTGCTTTAGAGAATCGACTGCACTTTCACTATCCACGTGTTTATGATGCGCCAGCGGACGTCATGAATGTGCGTCTGCTGCTGTGGGGAAACTATGGAAACTACAGTTTTCTATACAGCGGACTACAACATGGATGTTCAATAAGAACGAGGGACTACTGTAAACTCATCTAGAGACTCTGCACCGTGCTCTGATGCTGTTGCTTTATGCTTTATGAACGTGGACAACAGAGAAACATATTCTTCATGACCAAAGTTGGAATTGAAATAAAAAAGGAAAGTGAAACTTATGCTCGTCACCCTCTCCCTCCGGTCCACATTAATACAAATGATCCCAATACGTATGATTGTATGAAAAGATCTTAAAATCAATACAAATGTATTTATTATAAACGTTAGTCCTTAACATCTATCACTGTGTATATCACCATTCAAACATCTTTTAAAAGTTGAACAAACCCCACACAGCTCAGTAAAGACTGTGAGATGTTGACTTTATTTGATCATTTCAGTAAAAACTGACGTTCATATTTCTCTTTTTGATTATAATACTGATGAACGTTCAAAACAAAGCACTTTGGCAACTTACCACATACGTTTTAAAATGCTTAATAAGCACCGTAACTTTCATGATATAATTTCACGGTCATAATCGTTTGTTTCCGTGAACGGCCGACTGTTGTGTGACGGCAAATGCTGCGGCTGCAATGCATTGTGGGGCAGCATTTTCTCCTCTCCTTTCGGTTAGGGAGGTCCAGTGGTTCCTAAGCTAAAGGAGGTTATAAAGGAAGTTTGAAACCTCCTTTCCTTTCATTTGGAGAATTGGAACGGCACTTATCATGGCTGCCACTGAGGGACTTCCGGGTCATTTCACTTGGTTAGGAAGGTTCCTAAGCTAAATGGACTATTGGAACGCAACCCTGGTCTCTGACATGGGGGTTTAGATTGTCGGTGGAAAAAACTGAAACTTTATTTTTTACGAGGAAAAGGATAGGTGAGGAGGTTAGGTTAAAACTTTATGGACAAGAACTAAAGAAAGTGAAGACATTTAAATGTCTGGGAATATGGTTGGACAAGAGAGTCACATGGAGTACTCACATTGATAAAGTAGTAGATAAATGTAAAAAGGTTTTAAATGTTATGAGGTGCTTGGCAGGCACTAAGTGGGGGGCTGATAAAGCTGCTTTGAGGAACGTATACACAGCCTTAATAAGATCAGCCATAGAATACGGACTAATAGTGTATGGTTCAGCTGCATATTCTTCTCTTCAAAAATGAGATCCAGTCCAGTCACAAGCACTAAGGATATGCTGTGGGGCAGTCAGATCTACACCAGTGTCTGCACTTCAGGTAGAGGTCGGAGAAATACCAATTTCTCTGAGGAGAAAACAGTTAATTGTTCATTACTGGGCAAATCTACAGGGCCAGAAAGATACTCACCCTACTAAACAAACTGTACAAACAAGTTGGGAAAGTAACAAAATTAAAAAAGAAAGTTTTTGTGTTTGTGTTTCGGAAATATGTAAGGAATTCAAAGTTAAAGAATGGAATATTAGTCCGACGGTGTTGTTATCAGCTGTTCCACCATGGTTGCTACCTCAACCTATAGTAGATTTATCACTATTGAAACGGTTACATTCAATGAAAAGTAAAAGCAATGTGCAGGCTTATGTGAATACTGTTCTACATGAACAATATGGGCAGTTTATAAACATATTTACTGATGGATCCAAAAATCCAGAAAATGGTCAAACTAGTTGTGCATTTTATGTTCCTGAATTAAAAGTCAAAGTGGGAAAGCGAACGAGTGATCACATCGCAGTATATACAGTAGAGATGATGGCTATCTCTCTAGCACTTCAGTGGGTAGAGGAAATACAGCCAATGCGAGTGATCATTTGCTCTGACTCCAGTGCAGCTCTGGAGAGTATAAACAACTTCTCGTCAGGATATTTTACATGAAATGTTACACATCATGTTTAGGTTAGTTCATCTGGGAATTGTTGTTCAATTTCAGCGCATGTGGGTATTAGAGGGAATGAAGTAGTGGATCAACTGGCAAAATGTGGTTTGAAAGCAAACCAGATTGATATTATGGTACCCATCAGTAGAGCAGAAGTCAAATCTGTTACAAAAGTTATTATCAAGCAACAATGGCAAAAACTATTGGTCAGTCGCACTAAAGGAAGACATTTATACCAGATACAAAGGGAAGTAGGAACGGGAAGCACTTGGGGGAGTAGTAGAAGAGAACAGAGCATTAACGGCAGGATAACATTGGGTCACTCTGGGTTAAACTCATCACTGTATCTGATTGGAAAACATCCAAATGGCAATTGTGATGGTTGCCAAAAACCAGAGACAATACATCATGTATTTTTTAGCTGCCCGGATTATAACAGACAAAGACTCATTCTGAAAACTGCACTGGAACAACTCAACGTCAAGGACATGGATTTCAAGTCAATATACGAAAGTAAATGAAGAAATGAAGCAAACAAGCTGATCTTCAAATTCCTCAAAAGCACTGGTCTGAGGCATAGACTGTGGTCTGAGGACAAGGATTTAATATGAACATTTAATAAATCAACAGTAGGTGGCGATATATGCTCCAAGTGGAAGCGATTCGCCATTAAAGAAAATAAGAAGAAGAAGAAGAACTTCCGGTGATACCAAGGACCGAGGAGCGAGGAAATGAAAATAACCGACCTGAGATGCAGCTTCCGACATTGCAGCTTCATGCTACTCGAAATGGTCCCATGGAGGTCCACCGGAAAGGGAGGGACTTCGGCTGATGGTTATGGTTAACCCGGTCCACTGTGGACCAGATATGTGGCTGTGTCTTTAATATCAATAAGAGTGGCTTGTTAGCTAGTTCACTTTGCAACACGAATCTTGATTCGGTTAAAACCCCGTTAGAGACTGTGTAGGTTCGTCAGCGGAACAGCGGAAGAAGGTAACGTTAGCGCGAGCAATCGCCATTGTTTATGCGAAGGCAGAGAGCTAGGCCGTAGGCTAATTCCTGGGTAAACCCACTTAAATATACACACAGCACATGTATTGTGTATTTAATTTGAATAATTATCTGTAAAAATGATATAATAAATTGTTTAATGAAGGGTTAGTCAGCTACATAGGGCTCCATGTTCCACTTGAATGCAGAAAAGCTCATGTTATATAAACTGATCCGCTCATATCCTCTAATTCAAGTAAAAAACTGCAATCAGAAAACTTTACCCTGAATAATCATATGAGATTGTATAGACTGTTGGGTTTATGTAACGAGCCTGGTTAATAACGCGGCGGCCATACATTTAGCAGTAAACTACGACGGTTATTCAAATACAAATACATCGTTCATGCTTGTGCAAACAGTTTAAACACGGATAGGACGTGAGAGATGTTTAATTAAAGAGATTTCAGGAGGCTGTGTTTGGCGCTCAGACAGCAGCATCAGCCCTGTTGCACCTGCTGATCTACCAACAAGGTGCTTGAGTTCCCTCTGCTAAAGGTGGAGAGGTGGAAGGAGTATTCTGATCTTAACTCAAGTAAAGGAACTAGACCTTTTACCGTGAAAATACTCTACTACAAGTAACTCATAACTCCTTAAAAATACAACATTTAGATAAAGGTTTAACAATTATTCTTTGTACAGTTAAAAGATCCCTATCAGTTTGTTTCTATTAAAGTACAAGCATAAATGAGTACATCCCCTCTGAACATGTAATGGGCCATTCTACCGAATTAGACCAAAGTCAGGTTGGAAATGTTTTGAAATGTTGTATGTTTTTTTCCCAAAACTTTGTCCATATATATTTTGTACCATATCTAAATGACACATATCTAGTAAAAGAACCGTACATTTTTATATCGTATTTTCAGACTGTATTGGAATGTTCTTCCTCTACCAAAAATGGTCACTACCAAAACATAGTACATACAATGTAGTAAAAAAGTATTATATTAACCTGTTAAGATTGTTTTACCTTCCCTTCTCTAAATAGTATTTTAACAAATATTTCTTGAGGGTTTTCACAATTAAATTAATATAAGTGAATTTGTAATCAAATTTCAAAGTTCAATTTATACAATTCATAAAAATCATAATGCAAATTTTCTTTGTAAAATGCATAATACTGATCATATTGAGTCCAGAGTTGATGATTGTTGAAATTGAACATACATTAAACCAATCAGTATCATATCATTTTAGTTGATAACTCAATATACTTTATTTTTTACAAAACATCCAGTGTTTCTGTAGTGGCCACAGTATTTTGTTCTCAAGGTTGTATCATATTCCCTCAACCTTATTGCTTAATCTTAACTCATAACATGCCTTATGTTGAAGTGTGAATGTTTGAAGCTACTAACCCAGAATCAGCACTTTAGTAACAGGCTGAAATAGAGGGGGATGAGCTAGAAATAGAATGCATGATCTATTTGGTATTTTGAGCAAAATACTTCATAGACATGTTTTTTATATATCTGAGACCTATAATATATGCCTAACAATAGTATAATAAGAGACCTTTAAAGTAACACACTGATTTTCAGACTTTAAAACACATTTATTTGAAAATGGTGGCATTTACCTGCTTACCATTCCATTTTGTGACTACCGAAACGATCATGTCAATTACCGAAACGTAACCATATGTTTCGGTAGTGACTGTTTCGGTAGTGACGACTCAAGCTTAAATTGAGCATAACTAAAGAATGCTAGCAAGTACGTGGCTAGCATACACTTCTTTGAAGAGGTTTACAGTTTACACACATAAAAACCTAATACTTTGCATAAAACCCCAACACACACGAACGCGCACATGACCAATGAGGGCACGAGATAAGTTTGTGCACAGATGGAAGGCTGACAGGCAGGTAGGCCATCCAGTTACTTTAGCCGGGCCGGCTCAGATGATTGGTCGTGCTTTTTACAGCGCTACAGCTTCCACAGATGATTTTTTTTTTAATGGATTTTTTGTCAAAGCACTTCAGATATTTATTGCTATCGGGATGTTATTCCATGGAATATTACAAAATGTATCTCGAGCCGGTTTCTCAAACTTACCTACCCCACCTTTAATTGAAGATAATATGTGTTCGGTAGTGACAATTCTTAAGGTTACACTCCGATTTTCAGATTTTGGAACAGATTTATATAAAAAGTATGGGATATAACTACTTGCCATTGAGCCATGAGGGACAGGATTGCAGTGTCACTGTCTAGTTAAAAATGTAGGGGTGTGGCTAAAAACCAGGCTCAGTCATTGGACTAAAACCCCTTGTGTTTCGTTAGTGACATGAAAACTGGGGACATGTTTTTTTTAGTATAGTTTTTTTTATTAAAAAATGATACCCACAATAAATCTAAATATTCCAACTTCTCTTTGAATGTAATCATAAAGATCTTCTAAATACACCATTGAACTAAAGTGTTATTTACACATTGAAATTTAGATGTCAGGGTTGAGAACAGCTACTTCCCAATAGAAAGTACCCTATAAATGATATTTTTCTTAAAAAGTATTAAAAGTTGATAAATCATATTTAACGAAAATTAAGGCTATTAAAAAGTATTAAACGGCATTTTCCAAGGTATTAAGAAGGTCCACAGCAACGACAACATTAAACACCCTTTAATTTACTGCAACGACATGTCGGGAAACCCCCTCAAGGCGGCCCCATGCATAGCGCGCCGTAAAATGCTGCTTCTTATTTTAAGTTTCTGTTGCCTTGCACCGCTCTGTGTGGGCGCCACTGATGGTGATGAAAGCTGGTTCGAGAGCCCCCCACAGACTCTAGAATCGCCACTGTCTATGGGGATTAAAGCTGTCCGGTCCCACATGCTAAGTGCTAGCAAGAAAGCTGCGGTGTTTAAGTCCCGACTCTCCCGATGGCCAATCCGTGCCTCCCCTGACTGCACGTCGCTGACACACACCGCGGCAGTGCAGACTCTGCACGGAGGAGCAGCGGAGTCCGGGCGATGCTGCTCCTCCAAGGAAGATACACACGTTCACTAAGCCAAACTATATCCGGTCACAGAGATCTGCTATTTTAAAGTAAAGTCAACGCATATCGACCCTAAATATAGTCTATATTAAGAACGAGAAAAGTCTTAACATATATATTGTTTTTTGTAAACATATGACAAATGTGTGAGGGTGATGACGTCAGAGCATCGTCCTATGTGCCCAATTTAACCCCTGGGTATTTGTGAGGGAGCTCCTATATGGCATTACCCCGCTGAAGCTCACCAAAGTTTAATATATTTCATAGTTCAAAGTGTTGTCAATTATTTTGTTTATTGGTCAAATACTGGTTTCTGAGGAGTTCTACTGGAATGAAAGAGCACAGCGTGTGTCTACAGAAGCAAAAAAGCAGCATACTGCATTAAACCTGACCTTCACACTTGCGGCTTTCACACCAGCGCTTTTCCCTTTCTAGCTCTGAGCTAGAGCTTTTCTGGTTCAGCTCCGGTTTCCCTTTTCTGCTCCCGCTCTGTTCACACCGCCCAGCACCCGACTGGTGCTGCCGCTGCTGCGTCATGACGTCACCGTTTACATCGCTGATTTGCTCCCCAACGGCATTACGGCGCTCACAACAACGGGGAACTGCGTCGGGTCGATGATCGTGTTGCTTTTAATCACACGAAGCCAGAATAAATTGAATAACGAATTCTTCAACCTTATACTTTGCTCCAGAGTGCCGTGGTTCATTGTTTATTAATGTGTTTCTGCAGCATTTACCGACCGCTGCAGTGCTGGCTGCTCTTCCACGGGAGTTTATTCTCCTCCGTTAGCTCCCGGTTAGCTCACACTGCAGCGGCCGCTCTAAAGTATTCACTATCCGACTCACACAAGCAGCTGATACATATCCCCAGTTCCCCTTAGCCTAAGTGAATGTGTGTCCGTCTGAATTGACGCTGTTTGGTATCACAACGCTGTTATGAAAGTTTCTCTGGTATAAAATGGGTGATGTTAGCATAGCAACCGAAGCTAAACTGACTACTTGCTATTGCTATCCTATTGTGGCATAAACCGTTTTCTACAGGCACATTTTACCGGCGTATTTTTATTATGATTCTACTTGTGATAGTCGGACACGACAACCTGTGCCCATGTATTGATTCCATCCGATAGCTGCTATAATACAAAACAAAACGTCTGCCTCTCTCCACAATGATCAATAACAGTGAACGGATGGTCAAAGTAAGGTACAAATAAACAGAATCACACGAAGCCTGGTTAGTGTTGCCTGACTTTATAAAGTGTGTTTATAAGCACTAGGTAGGCTTGTAGGCAGGCATGACAGTCGACCCATGTTCAGGGGAGGTGGGTTTAGTTTCCTGCACGCCTCGACGTAATGGAGACGTGAGCGACGCCACCTCTTAGCTCCGAAGCTCTTGCCTCTAGACCGACAATCTTTTGGAGCTGGAAGTGAACCGGATTCCGGAGCTAAGAGCCGGCGCCGCTGCGGTGTGAACAGGAAAAACCGGCGCTTTTCAGGCTCCAGCTCCGAGCCGGAGCTGAAAAAGCGCTGGTGTGAAAGGGGCAAGAGAGGTTGAAGTTCATGTGGAGAGGAGGCTTCAGTTGTCTGTCTGCACTCTTGGGAACAATGCCTAAATCAAATGGTTAAATTCTAATGGTTTATTTTTCTAATAAACCTTGCATTGGGTTGGTCACACAATTCATTCTCTTGTGCTTTGTTCTATCTGAATTATGATAAGGAGTTTACTTATCACAAACCGTTTAGTTGTGCTATCTTACAATCAATAGTAAATGTGAGGTAAAGTGTGTTGCCAATGTAACCGGTTCGAACTCGAAGTTGCGATGAGGTCTTAAAATGTATGGAAAGGGTCTTAAAAGGTATTCAATTTGACTTCAGGATTCCTGCATATACCCTGTGTATATATTAAGCTTATCACTATCTAATGTAATGCCTTGTGTTTGAATAGACCATAACATGTTCTTAGTAAATGTCTATGTCTGAATACTTAATTGTTTTGTTAAATAGTTTTCCTTGTTGTGGGACCGCACTTTGTACTAATTCGGTAGAATGCCCCGTATATGTTAATGTTATTCAATGATCACCATTACAATTCATGGAAAGATACAACATTAGAAAAGTATTAAACATTTATAAAAACACCATAGAAAGATATGTATGTATATGTCATCAATATCTGTAAAATAAGTGAATTAGTCAACTTTGTTTGAATCAAGGGTTGCAAAAAGAAGTACACCCTAGATGCTCTTATCTCTGTGAGGAGCAGCAAGTTCAGCTTCAGAACAAAGTGAAAAACAAACAATGGCATAAATATTATTAATATGTCGGGTAGTAATACATTTATTTATTTTCTTCTCAGAGTGTACCAGAATGCGTAGTTTATATGTTAGTATTTCTAAAAATCTCCTGGGGGAGAATCCCCCCAGACCCCCCTTCTGGGATTGGGTTTTCAGCATGTGTGCCTTTTCATGTTATACAGTTCATCTTTGATTCCATCATCTCATTAAACCTATTTTAAAAGCATTCTTTAGTTCTGTGAAGGGATATATGCACTATACTTCAATTTAATTTATATTGTATGATGAAAAGCATATTCCACTGCACAATTTTTTGTTGAATAGATTTGAGTGGTTCAAAATGTTGAGTCGCGATCTATTGAATAAGGAAAAAGTGGGTCCCGTGGCCTGACCAATTGAGAACCACTGCCCTAGATTAAATTAAACAAATGTCATATTCTAATACTTCATATGTCCTCCGTTACTTTCAAGTACTGCACTGACCCTTCTTGGCATCGACTGTACAAGTTCACGACATAGTGTCCTGTGTTCCACTCCCCACATGTGGTCAATAGGATTGAAGTTGGGTGACATACTTAGCCACTGCAGTACTTTCACCTTGTTCTTCCTTAAAAATGCAGCGGGAAGACTGTTTAGGGTCGTTGTCACATTGAAAAAGTGCCACGGATGTGGAGACAGGGTAGTATCTTATCTTTCAAGATTGTGTAGTACTTCTGTGAATTCATGTTGCCATTGATGAAGTACAATTTCCCCTCACCTGCAGCACTCATACATGCCCATATAATAACTTTACCACCACCGTACTTCATTGTAGGGACCATGCACTTCTCAGAGTACTCTTCAGTTTTGCGACGCCCTACATTTCTGATGTCACCAGATCTGAAAAGATTGACCAGAGTATTGATTCCAAAAAGTCTTCACCTTTATCAATATGGGCCTTGGCAAAGGCTAAACAGCGTCTTACCGTGTGGGATGAAACGGTCAGTCCAATTTGGCTTATGCCAGCTCTGAGGCACTTGCTTTGGGATTCTCCTGCGCTTATGAAATGAAAAAAATGTCTTACTGAACTCTCCAGACAATTATTTCCCATGTGGTGCAATTGTTGTCAGCAATAAGTCTGAGCGATTCAGTGGGTTAGGTACCACTTTATGTCTGGCATTGGCTCAGTCAGTAGGGGCTTGGACTGTGAGCCGTAGGGTCAACGGTTCTAGTCCCCGACCAGACCGTACGTATGGAGTGTGGACTGCTACTTGAGAGGTCCCAGTTCACCTCCTGGGCCCTGCTGTGGTGCCCCTGAGGAGCAAGGAGTTAGAATCAGAATACCTGGATTAGTCCCACAGAGGGGACATTTACAAAAGACCCAAATACAGCTTAATGTTACCTAAGCATACATCAAAAAAGTACTAAAGATAAAAAAAGAAATTATGGTAAAGAAGCTACACATTTTACAAAAATACACACCCTGTAACACTTCTGAGGATTTAGCAACCAGGTATATATTGCACAGTTTTTAACGACGCACATATTGCACATAGTTGGTATTTAACAACAAGAGGTGTTATAGTCTATGTTGTTGTTAGGGATGCTCCGATCGCCAATTTCGGGGCCGATCGCCGGAATCAGTATCGGCCGATACCGATCGTCGATCCGATCGAGTGGGCGGGGCCTAAATGGAAGATTTAAACATCACTTTAAATCTTCCATTTAAAATGATGTACATTATTCAAGTTTACATTCACTTTGGATAATAACACGGGAGAAATTAGCGGAAGTGCTCTCTTTTCCTCTCGCCCTCTCTCCCTCTCCTGACAGCCTGTCAGTATCTCATGCAGCTCACTGATCCAGTAATGAGTGACGCGACAATGAAGAATAAATATATTTATAATAACTAGTTTAGCTTGTTCCAGAGGTAGATAAAATAGCTAAGTGTGTTAGGTCTAACTCTTACGGTATGTCCACACAGCAGCTTTTCAAAAATCTTGAAAATCTTGGAGCTGGGCGTGTCTGAAAGCTTGGGGATTTTTTGCGAGCAACGCGACCAACAACCAATCACATGAATCTCCCGCCCCCGACATACAAAGCAAAAAACCCCGGGGATTTTATGCGAGCAATATATATATATATATATATAAACTCCCCAAACAGGCGAAAACCTACCAGTTTCACCCACTGTCTCTGCCACCTCCCTCCATGCCTGGCTCCTCCGGTTTGTATCCCGTTAATAGTTCTGGTCGTAAAGAACCGGGTGATTTACTACCGTAATTTCTCGTTTGGAATATGAGGAAATGAACTGCGGTCTGGTTCTCCCTGTGTGTGTGTTTCGCTGCGCTTACCTGTCCGGCGGGCGGAGCTGCAGGATTTCTGCTTCACACACGTTGCATACCGCTATTTTACTGTCTTTTTCGGACACCTTAAAATAATGCCAGACCGGTGAAGCCATTTTGGCGAGCTTGTTTTGCCGCACACAGAGAAAAGTGTCATGTATTTTACGTCATGCGATCGGCTCTCGCGATCGGCATGTTTAGAGAGCACCGATCGATCGGTAGAGAGTGAGTATCGGCCGATATCGATCGGTGACCGATCGATCGGAGCATCCCTAGTTGTTGTGTGTGTGGGGGGGGGGTTACTAGGGGCCTATAGGGGGGATATATTCTATATCAACGTTTGTAGTATCACTCTCCTGAGAGAACCACGTATCTCTAAAAAGTATAGGATTGAGCTCAGAAAAACATCCTTTTGTTCAGCTTTGGTGGCGATGCATTGTCCAGCAGTTCCAAGAGGCTTTTAAAATAGTTGTTCAGCTTAAGAAGTGGGATGATTCTCACAATGCATAAAGATACATTTTGTTTTATCACAAACATTTGAAATCAACACAGTTGGTCATGAACATGTTTTTCACTGAACAGAAAATCAATGACAAATTGAAATCTAATAATCCCTAAAGCTGTCAGACACATGTGTTAGTAATATAAAAATAAACAAATATCTGTCAATTACATTATTGTTTAATGAACAAAACCACTAATTAATGCTTATTTTCCTCTTTTCCCAGGAGGCAATAAGAGATGTCTCACTATTCATCCTCCCGCAGCTCGTCTCGGTCTACCGACTGTAAAGTGTACGTTGGTGACTTGGGCAATGGTGCTGCCAAGGGGGAGCTGGAGCGAGCATTCAGTTATTATGGCCCACTGAGGACCGTCTGGGTGGCCAGGAACCCACCTGGGTTTGCCTTTGTGGAGTTTGAGGATCCAAGGGATGCAGAAGATGCTGTGAAGGGCATGGATGGAAAGTAAGTAATAATATTTTCCTTATGAAATGAACAAATTCCATCTCCAAAGTGTTAAATGATGGGTGTGTTGCCTTGTAACAGACTTAAGAAATGCAAAAGTTAAATGTAAGGGGACTCGATAAGGGTTTTATTCCTTACATCTGGCATGTGGACCAGGAACTCCACCTGTCTCTGCCCTGACCTTTCTTCTCCTCAGGATTCTTTGTGGTTCCCGTGTTCGTGTGGAGCTCTCGACAGGCCTCTCCAGGAAGGGTCGTGGACGCCCCAGCCGACGCCAGTTTGACCCCAAGGATCGGTGTTACCAGTGCGGGGACCGAGGCCACTACGCCTATGACTGCTACCGCTTTAGCAAGAGAGGAGGCCGTCGCAGCAGGTGAAGGATTACTGTCTGTTGACGAGGTTGTGGCTGAAACACTTGACACTTGCTCTGATGAGAACAGCTCTGGCCGTCCTCTACCTCAAAGCAGGGACGGACTGGCCATTGGGAATACCGAGAGTTTTTCCGGTGGGCCGGTGCTGTGCGTGGGCCGGAGGGCCAATTCCTACCAGCCCACATTTGTCAGTGTTCCGGCCACTCCCTTTTTTATTTTTTTTGCTTACCTAAATCCTACCGGCTAGTACAGGGGGTGAGGTCAGGTGGTGAGTTCCACCACCTGCCCACACCCCCTGTTACATTTGTAAGTGTTCCGGCCACTCCCTGGAGGGGTGTGGCCCACACCCCACTGGGCTGGGCCGTTTTGATAGGCTACCTATGTTCTGTCTATCAGATAGTTTCACTTTCACACATCAGGCCCTTGGCAGATGTCACTGCAGTAAACGATCAGGAGTGAGTGACTGAGAGACCTAGCTGGCAGTTGCTTACGGTACGTCCACACAGCAGCTTTAAACAAATCTTCCAACGCTTCTCTGCCCATTGACTTTGAATGGGGATGACGTCACTTTGCCTCGCTTTTCGCCGAACTGCATTGTGGGGGAGCAAAGCGAAGATTTCCAGGATTTCCAGGATTTTCAGGATTCAAAAGTTGAGCAATGTTCTACTTTTGAAGCTGAGCTGGAAGCGTCAGCCAATCAAATCCCGTTTATGCAAATCTGACAGTAGAAGCGCTAGCCAATCAAACTGCGTGTAAGCAGGGAGAGCCAGACCGCAATTCATTTCCTCATATTCCAAACGAGAAATTACGGTAGCAAATCACCCGGTTCTTTACGACCAGAACTATTAACGGGATACAAACCGGAGGAACCAGGCATGGAGGGAGGTGGCAGAGACAGTGGGTGAAACTGGTAGGTTTTCGCCTGTTTGGGGAGTTTATATATATATATATATATATTGCTCGCATAAAATCCCCGGGGTTTTTTGCTTTGTATGTCGGGGGCGGGAGATTCATGTGATGGGTTGTTGGTCGCGTTGCTCGCAAAAGATCCCCAAGCTTTCAGACACGCCCAGCTCCAAGATTTTCAAGATTTTTGAAAAGCTGCTGTGTGGACGTACCGTTACAGATGGATAAACCAGCTCCAAACCGTAAAGGCGTTTTTGTATAGTTTGTGTATACAGTATACAGTATTGTAGCGAGCCCTGGGTGCAGAGGGAGGGGCTTGCATAGGGGAGGGGGGGGGGTTGGCAGGGAAACGGGGTTCAGGGGGAGTGGCTATACCCGTAGGATAGAAAAGGGGCAAGTGACGTCTGACTCAGAGGTCGCACGGCTGTGGAGAAGAACGTGTTGCTGAGTTTAGGCTAGTTAGCTAGCAGGTTTATTGTTTTGGGTGCAGTCACTTTTGCCTCCACTTGCTGTTCAAATAAATGTTGAAAGAAAAAGTAAATCTGTTCATATGGGTGTTGAGAGATGTATCCATAGATTTAGTCCCTAATGTTGCTCTCAAAGTGCACCAGATTGATGCATTTAACTTCAACATTTAAAAAACAAATCTTTCCGGGGGACCATGCCCCCGGACCCCCCTAGAGGAGGTGAGGTCCACCACCTGCCCACACCCCCTGTTAAATTGTCTCACCCACATTGAGGATGCTTCCTACGCCCATGTTTTATTCCATGCGTCAAGTCAGGCAAATTGGGTCCAGATGTTATTGCATCAATGATCTGTTAACATTAAAATCAATAAATATATGCTGTAACTATTTTGCTCAAGGGTTCAGGTAATGTGATTACTATATGAATAATGGTCCAAAATAACATAAAATGCATAGGGTTTTTTGTTAAGTAACATACTTTCGTCGCCGGCCGGCCGATACATGACGCGCATTAAGTGGGCCTCTCTGTCAATTAATCCCCGGGCCACTTTTTCCTCCCAGTCCGCCCCTGCCTCAACGACGGTCGGAAATAAATGAGTTTGTTTTCGTTTCAGGTCCCATTCTCGTTCTAGATCTCACTCAAGGTCCAGGTCCCGTGGGCGCCGGTATCTCTCTCGCTCCCGCAGCCGTAGCCCCAGCCGGTATGTAGGCACAGAACCTCAGTGGTTTTTGGCTTCTGATTTTTGGTAGTTATTGCATGAAACCTATTGCTTTTAAGTCTAAATGTACTGGTTTGAGTGCTGCAAATCACACCGATTAGATCAGATGAATTGCATTTCTGAAGTTAAGGTTACATGAATTAACACAGCTAAACTAAGTTGATCATTTAGTTTTGAAAACTGTAATAATGCCCTATTTTGTTAGATTCAAGGTCTCTCTTGAAGTTTTTCTGAATAAATCTTCGGTAGTAAGTTGCTGTCGATTCAAGTCTCTGCAGGTTAATAATTGCAACTAATTTACATTTCCCTGGATCTATTGGAAATATTTTTATCATACAAGTCGTAGAAGTATAACTTTAGTTTAGCCCAATCTTTATCTGCAACAGTGCAGAAATACTTGCCCTAAACAGAATGAATAGACATGCAAAGCTGTGCAGCATTAGACATTTCAGAATAAGAATGTCATCCCCGTTGTTTTATATGGTAGCCCGGCCATCACGCGAACCTTTTGTTAACTCACTTTTGACGTACTTTTGCAGGAGCCGCCGCCGATCTCCATCCTATTCCAGACGCAGGAGCCGGTAAGAATAAAGCTTGGTTTACTATAAATAACTGTTATGTTAATACATCAATTTTCTAGGTTTTATAATGGCGATATACAGTATGTGACAGATGTGGCCATTCCTTTTCCGTGTTGTGTATATTTATTTTCTGTAACATTAGGTCTGGCTCTCCAGCCCGTTCCAAGTCCAGGACGTCGGTGAGAAGGTAGGTTGTGTGTGCGACAGTTTTTCATGACACAATTACACAGCTTGTATCTTTTAGGCACTGCTGTTGTATAGCAAACATTCCACCCTTGTGACATGATTGTTGGGTGAGACATGAATGCAGTGAGTGACGGGAGTCTGACTGTCAGGTCAGCACTACATGTTCATCTGTGAAGAAAATAATTCATTCTTAATTATTCAAAAGTGGATCATGTTGTTTCTCTCTCCAGTCGTTCCAAGTCTCGGTCCACCTCTGCACCCAGAGGGCGCTCTTCGCCCAGAGGTCGTTCCCCACCCAGAGGTCGTTCCCCACCCAGAGGTCGTTCCCCACCCAGAGGTCGTTCCCCACCCAGAGGTCGCTCCCCCCCCAGAGGGCGCTCCGTCTCACGTTCTCACTCACGATCTCATTCAGCCGACCACAAAAGGAACAGGTAAACCGTCTTAATGTCTCTCACTCATTAAAACAAGATTTTAGTTGCTTAGTCAGCCAGTTGTCAGTGTTTTAACCAGACATTTTAAACTTGTGTAAACACTTATAAGGAAGAAGTAAGGTCTAGACTAACCAGTATAGAATTAAGATAGTTAAGACCACAACTATCCTGCGTTCTAAGAGAGGCTTAGTTATGTTCTTCACATTAGCCAGAACTTAGGCGCTCCATCCTAGCCAGGGAATTACTATTAAATAACCCCCACATCCACCCGGGAGCGTCACTCTGCCACCAAACATCCGCCAGAAGTGAGATGGACGAGCGAGACTCCTCGACGCAGAGAGATCTGCATCTTCGCCATGTCTTCTGCTCTGCTGGGGGCCAGCTGTGGAGTGGGGGATGGGTAGCGACAGTGACTTGGGCCCTCTGTCTGGTGTAGGGAAGTATGAGTAAATGAAAGATTAGATGTCCCCGTCTCTCCTGTGCTCTCTTTTCCAGCTCTTGATAGCTCTATTTAACCTCAGCTAAAGCCTGAAAAGAGAGCACATGAAAGATTGTTTCTACAGAGCCAGTAAACTGTTGAGACTCTTAGCAGCTAAAACCAGGGACATGTCCTCTGTACTCTTACTTTCCTTTAAAGACACAAACTATGTAGTTGTATTTTATAGAAATGAATTTAAGTGCAGACATTGCAAGAGAGAAAACTGTAATTATGGGATTGATAAGTGTTAAGTAAAGATGGTCTCAGGAAGTATTTTCAATGTTTTAATTTCTTCTTAAATTCCCTATCATGAATCTGGCTAGATCAAAGGAATTCTCTAGAAAGAATATTAGCTGACGACACCCTTGGTGTGACTTAAGTTAAGCATCTCTGCAGCACAGTTTTGTTTATTTTTCACATTTTCTTTAAAGCGTGTGGTGGGAGCTGAGCACTGCACTGACACCACAGCTGATCCCAGGCCCATGGTCTGCCAGCTGGCGGTGTGTACGTCCTGCGGGAGGGTGACTAAACGCTGACCTGAGATCAGCCTTCTCCTGCATCTGGTGTTAGACAGCGAGAAAGAGGTCGACCTTCCGACCTACCCCCGCACAGTGAATGGGTGACCGTCTGTTCGACCGACGCACACGCTCAGACGAGATCAGCCCGTGCACACATTCAGTTGTTCTACTAGAGTCTTCAGAAGTACCAGAGGGCTGACCCACACAGATCATTTAAATCCATTACCTACCTACCAGACCCCCCTACCTACCAGAGTTCTTCGGCCTCTGTCTTAGCTTCTGAAAGGGAGAGAGAGCTGACGAGAGATCAGACTTCAAGAGCCTCCCACCGCAGTCTCTCCGAGTTGTAGTCATCCTTCGCTTCTCTGTACTTGTTGTTTCTGCCACTGTCTCCAAAGGTAACAAAAAACAAACCCCCTGAAAAGCTCATGTTCATGGTGAAAGAAATGCACAAGCTTGGTGTAGTCTTCAAAACTGGTGATTAGAGAGCTATAGTTGAGCCTTTAACAAGCATGCTCAGAGTACAAATGTGTTTGTATGCGTGAGTGCCTGGATGATTGAGTGAGTGCAAGAGAGAGAGACAAGATGAGATTCAATAGATTATATTTCTGAGGGGGGCATAAGGCGCTTTCACACCAAGTACTTTGCTGTACTTAGTTCCCAGTACTTATGGTGCGTTCACACCGGACGCGATGCGAATATTCGCTTCGCTCCCATCGCTCTAAACGCTCGAGTTTCACCGCGGCTGCCAGCTGTGTTTACTCGCATCATTCAAACAAGACGCGCTCGGGAGCTACAACTACAACAAAATGAACATATTTTACCGTGATTAAATTGTAATACACGTTTCTAAATTATGCAGAAGTAACAACATACTGATACCGGTTAGTAAAAACCATGAATTAATGCTTGACAAGTCTGCAGACAAGACGGCAGGCGAAAAACCTTTTAAAATGCTTGTTTTCTGAATGGAGATTGGGTCGACCAGGCTAAGCTAACGTTGTATATGATCACTCCACACTCATAACAACGGCCTACAGACATAAATAAACCAGCGACTGTATTCGCCATGACACAGACAGTCTGTGGTTTGTACTTGTTTAACTTTTGTCCAGTTTCTGAACAGATATGAGGAGCTGTGAGCTCTGTGTGCTAACTGCTAACAGCTAACGGCTGATGTGTTCTGGTTGAACGCATGGTTGAACTTCAGTGACGGTAGGCTGAGATCCTCACCGCTGATTGGCTTCCGCGAGAACGCGTCACGTGAATTTGACGCTCGAGTTGCAAAAATGTAACTCTCGCGTTTGACGCGGCACTGTTCAATCGCGTGATTCGCACCGCGTCCACCACTTCATGCTCGCCGTCGGAGCGAATTTGCGTGTCTCTGCATTGACTTTACAAGTAATCGCGCCGCCCCCAGACATCGCATCGCATCCGGTGTGAACGCAGCATAAGTTCATCGGAACTCTTTAGTTGCCGGAACTAAAGAGTTCCGAGCAGATCGCGTTCACACCGGAATAAGTACCTGAGGGAGGATTAGGCAAATGAAGCCGCTGACGTCACTTCTTCTTCTTTTGCTTTGGGTTTACTGGCAGGCCGCAAACAACTTCACGGCGTATACTGCCACCCGAAGTCCCCGGAGTTGGGGACTGGCTTCAGTAGAAGCTGCTGGGACTCCCAGCAGCTTCTACTGAAGCCTTCCGAGTAAATCGCCAGAACGCCGACACCTCCTCATCTCCACCGCTCCCATGTTTTTTTTTGTGTTGCCATAACTTATTCTCTCTGCGTTGGTGCGTTGGGCTAATGCTAATAATGCTAATTCCAGCAAATACAATGGTGGCTTCAAAAAACTTTTACGAGTTTTACGGGGCGTGGTTTGCAATTCGCCCAGCCAATCAGAAATTGGAACCTTTTCACCCCTTTTTAGTCCCTGCTCTCTAGCAGGGACTAAAAAGGGGTGAAAAGGTTCGCAAAAAAAAGTTCTAGTTCCAGATCTTTTTGGTGTGAACGCAAAATCCCAGGAACTATCGGAACTATTCCTGGGAAAAGTACTCCGGTGTGAAAGCGCCTATAGTCAAATGTTTTTTTTCTTCTTGTGCCCAGGTCTCACTAAACCTTTTTACCACTGTGTCAAACCGCAACAAATATAATTAAACAATCCCCGAAGTATTTGGTGGCCGTCCAAATTCTATATCCTTAGTTAAAAGTAATGACTGGCATAAATATAACACCATACAAACAGCTAAATGTATTTTTAAAATTATTTGTTAAATACACATATGTTATAGCGAAAACATTGTCAGAGAATAAAATCAGTGTTTATTTGTAGTTTACTTTTTCTTAGATTATATCTACTTTCTTGTCCTGAATATGTCCCAAAATGTAATTGTTATCATCCCCAATAATTTGTTTGCATCCCTGGGATGAATGCACACATTTGAGTTCAAGCCCTGCTTCTGCCATACATGACCATTTTAGGCTACTTCACCAAAAAAGTATTTATTTTAGTATTCCTAAGAACTTTATAATAAACAATTTTTAAAAACGTATTTTAGTACTCCTTAGAACTTTATAATAACCAATATAAATATGGTGGCTTTTAATTGTGCAGTTCCTTCTCCGGTCATGACATTAAACACTGCTAAATGTCTCTTTAGAGTATACTATGTTAACAATCTGCTGTAGTTGCAGGTGGGGAGACTGTCAATGACCTGTCAGTTTTTTAAAAGACTGTTTTCTCCCCAGGTGTGTTTGTGTATTTCACTCTTCACCCTGGACAATTATTTATTTGAAAAGCAACGTATTGTCGCCTTAGACAAATATATATAAACTATTACAGGTGTACGAAAATACTTTTTGACTCTTCACATTAAAACTTGTTCTGACAGGTTAAAGAGGTATTCAGACTGTTTACAAGTATCAGTGTGTATCCGGCCATGAACTTTCTCAAAAGGTTAAAACTGTCAGATGTTGAGGACTGGAATTTCTGTCTGATCATTCTTCCATCCTCCCCTGTGGCAAGCTAATCCCTGTTTATTTTTGTTTCAGTCGTTCCCGTTCAGCAAGCCCTCACCGCAGCCCTACGCCTTCAGCCGACTGAGAGAAGAAGACTTATTATTCCCTATCAGACTCAACCCCTGCACCTGTCTGCTCTCACTAGCTGACTATTCCGAATCTTTTTTAAGTTACATTTTCTTCCCCATGATTGTATTCTGTGTGCAGCTTTTGGTTGTTAGTCAGTATAGTAAAAAGAGAAATTAGTTTCTATTTGATTGTTTTAATTGTTGCTTCTGCTGCATATCTTATCTTCCTTATTTAAAGTGGGGTAGCAGAAGCTACACTCCTGTTAAGGTAATACTAAATGTCGCCATTGACTTTAAGCAAGGTTTTGAGCAGTTTAAAAGTAAACTTTAAGATTGAGTTCTTGAGGTTAGAGACATTGCAGTGAAAACTGTTTTTTTCCCTAAAATGTGTCGAATCTCAAACTATTTTTCTCCATTGAGAATTGGCTGAATATTATAATATTGTAATGCCTCCATTTTGATTTCTGAAATCTGATGCTGTTAAATGCTTCCTCTCATGATGGCATACGGCCATATCCGCCATGCCTTTTTAAAATGAAGTCACATTTGTACTGTTTGTTTCTGTCCTGCACTCTCCCTTTTATCAACCTAATCAGTTTCACTGTGTGCTGAATTGATGTTCCCCATGTGTTGATCTCAGATGTGTTCCAGTCACTTTACATTTTACAGTATACACAGTGCTGAATTTGATTTATGTAGGACTGCTTTAACAGCTTTGAGCTGTTCCTTGCTTATATGATAGGACAGTGGCAGTTTTATTTGAGAATAAACCTCTTAAACATACCTTAGTGGTCTTTATTTCACCTTTTGGTACATTTGATTTGCTGATTAAAGTTTTGTTTTGTGTAACTGAAACAAATATATATGTGTGTATGTAGATAATTGAAATATGTTAAGATATCAGCAGGTATTATTTACAGGTATCTTTATTTTATAAAAATATTAATATGCCAGAGATTTTCAACTACAGGCACCAAAACACTACAATTTTACATTTTCTTTGGTGCCCTTGTGATGAAATACAGCTCTACTACTGGGACTTTTACAAAGTTCAAACAGCACTTTTTTGTTGCTCAAATGTACATACACCGAAATAGGCTTACAGTTAAAGGTAGGGTAGGTAAGAATGGAGAAACCAGCTCGAGTGGTTGCTAGAATTTGAAAGTACGCATCCGAAAAAAAATCTGCCCCTTCCTTACAGAGCCCCTCCTCCAACACACACGAACGCGCACATGACCAATAGAGTGGCGAAGTCCCTCCCCTTCCGGGGGACCTCCATGGGACCTTATAGTCAATGGAGAGAGAAAACTTATCTTTCGATCCCGTTTGAATTGTGCCACGAATTACACATATGATGTTTGTCAATCTTAAAAAATCATTTCCATGTCAAAAAAGTCAGTTTGTCGTAAAACTGTTGAAATATAAGACTATGAAAAATACGCAAATAGAAAGATTACAAATCCCACTCGCGTAAGTGATGTCACAATTGTTTTCCTCCACTAAATATAAGAGATAGCTAAGATAACTTTAACAAGATACCTGTGTGCTTAGTACCAGGTTGTTATCATATAAGAGTAGTAGAGTACTGTCACACCGGTGTGATAATTCTATAATACACCATTTAAGCCCGGGGGAGAAATGCTAACGCTACATTAGCATCGGCGATCTTTTTCTACTTCATGATATCTGCACAAATGGTTGACATTAACATTAAAAAGACCAGGCAGTTCAGAGAGAATCAAAGGCAGGCAGCTTTGCATGACATTCTTCTGGACGTGTTTCATTGTGGTGATAGTGAGGGTAGTCAATCCCTTGTTTAGCAAGACAGTAGTGACGGCCATCGTGGTGACGTGTGTTGTTGTGGGAGACCAGAGATGTAGTTCATTGAGCGTTTCACACAAACAAATGTGTTACTTCACAGTTTTACGACACTTTTTTTTTTTTGACTGGCAAAATTATCTTTTAAATTGACAAACATCATACGTGTAATTCGTGGCACAATTCAAACGGGATTGAAAGATAATCTTTCTCTCTCCATTGACTTCAATACATAATTTTTCCGAAATAAGGTCCTATGGAGGTCCACCGGAAGGGGAGGGACTTCGCCACTCTATTGGCTCTCACTGAAGTAACATATATATTGACAGCTTCCCGGGCCAATCACAGCTCGCGTTTCCGCTGTACTGGGCGTGGATAAACGAGCCTTGCTTTTCTTGACTTTTCCGTCCATTTCATTTCATCGTCACTACCACCATCCTTTTTAACCGGGACAACATGGCTACTGCAGCGAGCCGTTACTACAGCGAAGACGGCAGGGCAACAAAACGACAGAAAACTGACGGAATGGCCACGGTGAGTTGTGTTGTGTGTGAGCTGTAGTGGAAATTATTTTCCCTTGCTTATCGAACACACGCTGCCCAGTGTTCGTGGTTGAATTTGATTTGCGCGTTTGGGAAAAAAAATATCACGATACGTCGCAGGTCAATTTAAATATATGTCTTTGTGAAGGGATATCGTGCATTCACCGTTGTATAATCTTTATTATGTATAGTATACGCTTGTGGCTCAGAAAGAAACATCCAGAAACACAAGTCGTGCTTAAAGCTTTGCTGTGTTTTCTGAGTGGGGTGGTTCGAAGGGCCTTGCCTGGGAACGGCTTTGTTCTAGTACCGGTAACGATTAGCCATGTGCTAGCTGTGAGCTAGCAACACATTGTAATCTTACTATGCAGCATTGGTGTAGCAGCTAGGTCAGTCGGGTAACATTGTAGTGTTATTCGAAAAAAAAGCCTGCATGTTTTATACCCACCCACTTTGTCTTTCCATTGTAGTAAGGCGTAAAAATTAAACAATATACGCAGATTAAGTCAACTGCCTCCTCCCCCAACTACAACCTAAGGTAGCTTGTAGTTTTAAGGTAAATGCAACGATTAAGCTGTAGCATCCAGTAACAGCGTGCCCCTTTACAGAAGTGGAAGTATTTGGATCCTTAAAATTACTTGCGTCTTAACTAAAGATTATAATACCCTACTGTAGAAAATGCTCCCCCTCCCCCCCCCCCCAACCAACTGAAATTGCAGCATTCAAACCATAATTTTATAATTATCAAAATGTAGCAAAGTAAAGTATCATAAGTCAAATTAGTCATTTTGCCTTTAAATGATCGATGTCAGTGTACACTATTATAAATAATGTTTTGCAATAGTAATGCTGCATTCATTTGTATGTCGCATTTACTGATGTTTAGGTTGTGCTTGTTTTAACTTGTACTGCTCAGAAAATCCCTTTTTAACCTTGAATTTATCAGAAAACATTTACATTATAAATCAGACAATTTTGAGACGCATTGTTCTCACTGAAGAGAAAGGTAAAAATAAGGTTAACATATAAATCCTTTAAAAAATGTAATTACTTTTATATGGCCAATGCTCAGCAACATTTCTAAAGATGATTTCATTCTATATTTGCGAGTAAGAATTTAATTGCCAACCACTGCTTCACAGTTATGCTGTGATTATAATAAATAAAAACTGCAAATAGGCCTTCAATTTAAATTTGAAGGTAGAATACAGTTCAATACAACATTGTTACATAAGGCACATGCCCAACACTTGATAAGACGTATGCTAATTTTCTGATTTCTTCCTAAGGGATACGAAGATCCACACAAGACCCTTCCGTCTGTGGTGGTGCATGTCCGGGGGCTTGTCGACGGTGTTACAGAGGCCGACCTTGTGGAGGCCTTGCAAGAATTTGGAGCAATCAGGTAGAGGGGGAGAACATTCTTCGTGTGTGGAATAAATGTGCAAAGAAATGCATACTTCCCTTTTAGGTCGTTACCTGGATTTTTTTACAAAGCTGAAAGTCAGGCTCACCGTTGGTTTAGTTAGGTGGAAACATGTAACATTTCACCTGCAAGATATTAACTTTCAAGTGGTCTTGTGCAAATGGCTGCACATGTGACCCAGTAGATCACACATTCCGCATTGCATTGAAACAACTTTTTTATTTATTTTGATTTTAGCTATGTTGTTGTGATGCCCAAGAAGCGGCAGGCACTGGTCGAGTACGAAGACATGAATGGAGCATCCACATCTGTAACCTATGCTGCAGACAACCAGGTTTACATCGCTGGCCACCCAGCCTTCATCAACTACTCCACCAGCCAGAAGATATCCAGGCCGGGAGACGCCGATGACTCTAGAAGTGTTAACAATGTTCTTCTGCTCACCATCATGAACCCCATCTACCCCATCACCTCGGTAAATGCAAATATTTGGACTTCTGCTTGTCTGGTTTGCTTGAATTGCTGAGCTTCATCAAGTTTGTGACATGTTTTACATTTGGGGAGAAAAGCCATGCCAGGGGTTATTGTTGTTAAAATGTCAGCACTCTTAAGCACATGTGTCCACGCTCATGGCTGCTCACGCCCTCTAATGGGTTAAAGGGAGACTCTGTTTGTTTTTGCTTATACACTGCAGCTGGTGGTGAATTTAATTTGTATATAAAGTGTTGTTAGTCCTGGTTAACCGCAGCAGCCCTGTACTGTTCTTGTCAGGTAACGTGGATCAACTATTGTAATAAAAGTCTATATTAAAGGCAAAGTCGGTGTAGACTTTTTCTTTATGCCTCTGTTAAGTTTGGCTGTTGAACAGAGAACACATTTGTTTGTGGATCAGTTTGTAACCTTTTACTTGTTAACAGGATGTCCTCTACACCATCTGCAACAACTGTGGGCCTGTGCAGAGAATCGTCATCTTCAGGAAGAACGGTGTCCAGGCCATGGTTGAATATCCTTTTGATTGGTGCTTTCTGACAGGGGCACAAACAGATTTTTGACCACCAGTTTGCCAAAAATGTACAGAAGAAATAAGCTGGTTTCCTGCTAGTTCTAACACAAATGAACAGAATATATGGCTTTATAACAGGAACTTGTCCAACGAATACCACCATTTCTACTGGTGACATATATTTTAAACTTCTATAGTGTTGACAATCTTAGTAGTTATTTTATTCTTAGATGTTGTGGCTTTTAGTAATCTGTATTATAATTTTCATCAAAGCTGGTACTTGCTTGTCTTGTCCTTAACTCTTTCATTACATTCGACTCAGTGCAAAGTGCACAGCGGGCCAAAGCTTCACTCAACGGAGCTGATATTTACTCGGGCTGCTGCACACTGAAGATCGAGTATGCCAAGGTATGCTGCAGAACACAAAGCATTGCCACTGTTCATTGACAAACAACGTAATAACACAATTTACATTTTATTTTTTTACATCTGAATTTACTTTAAAATAAAAAAGATCTATTGATTCTGACTTTTCTACATCCAACTCACAGGTTTATCATTGTTTTGAGAAAAAGGATTATTCATTTACCCCTTTATAGAAGTGAAGTTATAGTCATTTGTTCTGGGAATGTCATTTTCGAGCCCGAGACCAGGCTCGGGGCTTAACAGGTTAATTAACGCACACTTAGTACATTTCTGCCTTCATTCCTCTTATTTGCAGCCACAGGTTGTCTCCTGCCTTAATGTTCTTACAAATGTTCGTATAAAGTGAAAGTTGGCGGTGATCAATGGATTCCGTCCAGTATAAGAGTCAAATGAAGCAAGAAACATCCCCTTTTATGAGAGCTTGAGACAGAGAACCCAGCTAAACAGCAGTCATTTGATGACCATCTTAGCTGTAGCTGTTTTATATCTGAGGCTTTCAGGTTCTGTTGAGCCAGCTAAAGCAAAGAAAGCCAGACTGTTTTTTTTTTTACATAACTCTGCACAGTAA